ATGATGATATTATCTTCCGATATTCAGTTTCCTGTTCCTAACATTTGGGATAACATCTCTCCTATGATATTTTGATTTTTCAGACTATCACTACACAGAGGGAATAAAACCGCTAGGAAAGTACCGAAATTGATACAATCCGTTAACATGTAGACAACGGATGTGTATAAAATTTAAAAAATCATCCAGCTTTTATTTTGACAACCACCGTTGCAATTTTGACAACGCATTTTTGTCATTTTAATTACGATTTCCGTCATTTCGTCAACGAATCGTTGTCATTTCGTCAACGAATCGTTGTCATTTCGACAACGCAACGTTCTGATTGACAATATGATATGTCACTTTGATACCACATCGTTTTCATTCCCAAAAGATACACCATTTTGCAGAAAATATATTCCCACTATAATTGCCAATTATCCCCGAGTGGGCTGGTATCCATATGACGCAGAGCTTACCACTTGAAAAGTATTCAATTATAGCTCTCTTACAATTCAATACTGTCTTAGATTTAACCTTCTGGCTGTTTGCGCTATTTGCCTTCTGGCTGTCGGAAAAAATTTTAACTTCTGTGGGCGCCATATTCAATATAAACCATTTTAAAGATTCCTTGAGAGTACGGGCCTTCGCCCGGAAGTTAGTGGAGGGATTTTGAAGTTTCTGGTGTCCTAGTTTAGAGCTATCCTTATATAAAGAGATTCTTGAAGAGGTTTACCCTAATGTTTGGCTTGATAGCGGCCAATGTCTCACATTTCCCGACGATATCTATTTCCTGTATGCAATCTGGTGTTTGTGTATAACAGTCGATTATATCCAGGATATATTAACGGCGTCACTTTTAACCGGATTTGGTCAATTAGTCTAATGATGAGGGACACTCGGCTGTGAGTTCAGCCTTGTATCTTACATGTGTTTCGACGTTTCGAAAGCTGTCCTAATGGATTGCTAGGACCCCAACTCCAAGTAAGGGTATTATGTTACACAAGTAAATTAACAATAGTAAACTCTAGCGATCGCCAAATTATCTATAGAAAACTCTAGCAATCACAAAATTTTCTATAGAAAACTATTGCATTCGTAAAATTTTCTATAGAAAGCTATAGCGATCACCAAATTTTCTATACGATTTCTTTTCAAAATTGTAGCGCTATCAAAATTTGTTTATACAAAACTATTGGGATCGCAAAATTTTGCTCAGAAAAGTTGAGCAATCGCAAAATTTTACACAACAGTTTGCGTTTTTCTATAATATGTTTAAGATCAAGGATCTAAAAGTCTTGATTTTTAAAGAAATGTACCTCATGATATAGTATTTTGCCGACAAAAGGTGCTTTTATGAAACTTTGGATTGGAAATTCGAATTCTACTATATTAACTTTTCTGATCAACTGTTCGGGAAGTATGCGTCAACTCGAAGCTTAGGTTTAAATTGGTAAAAGTTTCAAATATTTTAAATGTGAAATCTTGCAAAACTTTAAGGTGAAAATGAGATTCGTATAGTAAATGGGGCAATTTGTCTAGCTCTAAACTTTGTACAGATTCTGGGGAGTTGTAAAATGATGATATAACTTCCTTGTTTGTTTGGTTATTAGTTTGTATTTTTATATTTTCTTCCTGCAGTGTGCAAATAGTAAACTAAATAAATTTATTAAATTATATAAATGTTTATGAAAATTAATGTTTTTTTTTGGCAAAACAACATTTATAAATCATTCAAATTAGTTTAATATTTTGTTAAATTTTAACTTCCTTGTTGGTTAGCATTTAGTTTGTATGCTTTGTTTCTTTCCAGCAGTGTGTTAAATGCAAACTAAAATAAGTTAATTAATTTATGTTATAATTTGATAAAATTAAAAAATTTCCAACAAAAACTTTGTTAATATTTCCAAACCAAGCTAAAAAGGCAAAACGCGTTGGCCGCTATAACCAAAAAATTAAATAAATATTAATATATTTTTTTTTGGTTAAATATATTAGTTTAAGATGACTATGTACATTTAATTTTTGAACTGCTGCATACTGATGCCACGGTACAGAGGGCCTCCTCATTACAGTTTAGTATGTATGTTTTTCTTCTGTCGTAATTATGCGCAATTTACTCGGCAGGAGGCAGAGAAAGATGAATTTAAAATGTCACAATAGAGTTGTGTAGTTGTATGTAGCTGGTGGTGCAACAAAGCTGTAGTATGGAACTTGCAAAGACTATAAGATACTACTAGATGGTTAATATGCAACCAAAGGTAGGTAGGCAGGCAGGCTGTTTAGTTGGTTGGTTGGTTGGATGGCTGACTATTTGGCTCTGTTTGCCTGTTAAAATAGGAAAGTCTTCTTAGCACTACATGCTGCTTAGGAGTCATCCGTTGTTTGTCAACTTTGGCGTGTGGTGGTAGTTGCCAGTAATGAATTTAAATCATTGACGGTGGCACAATGGTGGCATGTATTTTCCCATTTTTTTATTTAACACTCGTGTGCAATATTATATTAGTCTATAGTGCAACGACCAAATAAAATAGCATTTGATATTTAAAACATTCAAATGTTTTATTTAATGTGTTTAAAACGAAAGCATGGTACAATTTTGTGTGTTAGGGCTGTTGTTTCTTGTGTTGTCTGTCTGTCAGTCAGCAGCGTTAAGGTTATTTTGCTTATTTGTTTTTTGTCTCCTTTTCAAATAAGTATGTACTTGCCTTTTTCCCATTTTATTTTTTGGGGTGCAGCATGTCATGTTGCGTTATAAGCCGGTGACACATGTGTGGTGTGGTTTATATGACTTTAACAAAAAAAAAAACTCATTTTCAGCTTTAAAGAGTTGGTATTTTTTTTAGCTATAAATGAATATAAATGCATTACATTTTAAGCCAAAGAAATGATATTGAACTTGGCACTTGATGACTAAACAAAAAAATAATAAATTATACTAAAAGAGAGGAAAAAATGTAATAATATAAGAATATATATATAATTTTGTTTAATATTAATTTTGTCATGTTGACTTTTAAGAAGATATTTGTTTTAGTATATATAATACAGAATGAACGAGAAACATTTGTCAACAGTGCAGCGGCGACAACCGCACATACATTTTATATTTATTTTTAATTTCTTTGGCTAAACGTCAGTAGCGTCAGCATTTTAAATGAATTAAGGCTTTAAGTAATATTTCTTTTTTAATTTATGATATGATTTAAATAGTTCATTTCCCAAGAAAAAGGCTTAATGCAAGAAGTAACCTTAAAATACAAAAATTGAAAAGAACTTTTATCAATGAAATAGGTTTAACACGAAATAACCAAATCATACTAACAAGTTTTTCTTGATTGTTACTTGTATATATTGCTTTATTTCAGTCATTAACATAATACATTTTCTAGATCTAGAAATACAATTGACCTCCAATTGAAATTGTTTCGAAATTGTTTTTTAATAATCGAAAAAAGCATAACTTGTATGATTTGATTTTATCTGCCTCTACTAGAACTCATTATGCCCCACGCCACTTAAGTGGGGAGGATATATGGTTCCTATACCCTCCAGAGTTGATTTAGTTATGTCCCTTGGTCCAGGTAAACCTTGTAATCAAACTATAGGTCGCAATTTTTATACATAATTCAATGAAATTTTATACGTGATCTTGTATTGCTACAGGGAGAAAGTCTTTTGAAAATTGTTAACAACGGTACATTATTTCCCCTATTCCCCATACAACTGAACCCCCCGAATAGTGTATTTGAGCTCTTAATGTACTCGTACATCGACAAAAAGCGGCAAAACTAAGCTTTATACTTGCCTTGATGATCCTGCCGAATCTTTTAATGATCCGCTTTAGAAAAATTAGTTAAATATCCACAATTCACTTAAAAAGGATAATGTCGCGATAAAATTCGGAATAAATATATTATCTGTACCAAATTTTATGAGGATTGGTCCACAAAGAAAATCAAGAAGTAACCTAAGCATACAAAATGTTAAGGTTAAAGTTCTCTAGAGAAAGCTTTGCCTTGAAAGACATTTCTTTCTTCTTTAGAGAGACATGTCTTTAGAAAATTTCTCTAGTGAAAGTTTTATTTAATGAAAAGTATCTTTAGAGTGAATTTTTCTTTGAAAATCTTTTTGCAGAGAATTTTCTCAAAGAAAAGTCTCACTATTATTTAAAAAAAAAGATTCTTTAGAGTTACTTTTTCTTAGAAAAGTCTTTCTAAAGAGAGTTTGCTTCAGAAAAGTCTCCCTAAAGAGAGTTTGTTTTAGAAAATTCTCTCTAAAGAGAGTTTGCTTTAGAAAAGTCTCTAAAGAAAAAAAATCTCTTTAAAGATGAAATTTTCTTTAGAAAATTTTCTTTAAAGTTAATTTTCTGTTTTTTTTTTGTTTGAGATCAGCATGATCGGTCCAAAAATAATGAGCAAGAGTCCAAAAAGGTATCATTTCTCTAATAATTTTGTATATATGTACACAGAGGGAAAAAGAAATATTCAATAACATCCGTTGTCAAAGTATATACATACGTACGACAACACTATGTAATGTTGACAACGTTGCGTTGCAACAATTCGTTATCGAAATCTAAATTTTATACACATCCGTTGTCTAAATGTTAACAAACGTGGTAAGCTCAATATTGGCAACGGATTGTTTGTCAACATTACATAGTGTTATCATACTTTGACAACGGATGTTATTGAAAAATTATAAACAGTTTGATGTCAATTTGGTACCAGGCGTGTATATTTCTTTTTCCCTCTGTGTATGTATTTAGCACGATATTTGGTAAATAGTAACTATTTATGTCAAAGGAAGATATTTCGGAGATCTTTCATTTCAGAAAAAGATCTATTTGTACGAGATATAAATAAAATTTTGAATTTTTGGTATTTTGTAAATTTATGATTCTTTTAAAATTTAAAAAATTTATATTTAAAAAATCTATATTTTAAAATAATTTAATTAAAATATTTTAGTTTTTTTTTACTAATTTAAATATTTTTTTCTCTATTCTTTTTCAGGTATGTGTCTTAACATTTTCTTCTATTGGTAAGAATTAAAAAAATTTTTTTTTAAACAATTAATAATAAAATTAATGACATATCTCAAAATTAATTGAATTAATTCCACCCCATATACGATTAAATTCTTTCAAAGAAAATCCTTCTGTGATTTTGTTTAGCTTGGGTCTGCCTTCTATAAATTTTATTTTATTTCTACAATAACATTGTTGTTATTGTTGCACTGTTGAACTTTAAAAATTTTCGCAAAAAAACAAAAAAAAAACTAAATAAAAAACGCATTTAAATATAGATTCTCGCGCATTGCAAAACTCGTACACACACGCATTTTATAATGCTTATAAAGTAAAGATACTCTCGTACTAAAAGATACATTGAAAAACATTTTAAAAAGATAATTTTTTTCACTCAACTTTTTTGCGTTTTTTAAAAAACCAAAAAAAAAAAAAGACGATGGTCTAGGCCATTTGCTACCGCATTGCGTGGCTGTCTGAATGACTGGCTCGTTGTTGCTGTTTTTGTTTTTGTTGTTGTCTTGGCTAAAAGGATGGATGAATGATGTTGATGATGAAAGTAAAAGCAAAGATGCACTGATAAAATTGACATTTAAAATAATTTTTCATTTTAAATAAATAATCTTTAATCTTACTTCTTTCTTTTTCCTCTTGTTACTTGTTATTGTAAATTATTAGCTGCAAAAAAAAAAAAAAAAAAAAAAAAAAATAAGACGAGACCGTAAAGAAAACAAGATAAAAATTAAAAAAAAAAATAACATATAAAATGTTGCAAAGATCTTTTGCACATGTAATTTTAATGTAATATGTACGAGCTTTACTTTTTTAGCTATTTTAGGTTTTAATGGTTTATATTCTTAGTTTTTGGTAGTATCGATATTTTATGATAGTTTATTCATACTAAGAGGAGATTGATCAATTTGCTGTGGCATCATGTGTAAGTGTGTGCTTGAGAAAATACTCAACAACTACGCAAAATCTGTTTGAACGAGCACTCTGACGAAGACCAGATTTTTGAAACTATATTAAAAGCCTACAATATGACTCCCTAAGTGTTTTAGAATAAGTAATATACCTCATTTGGAACTTTTTCGTTTTAAGAATGAATGAATTTGATTGTTCGAACTTTAGGTCATGATCACTTTCTTAAATCATGACTTTTGCAGAAGAGTTAGGATTAGAAAGGAAAAGAGAGGTTTGAGCGCTTTCTCTGCACTGTTCGGACCAAAAGTGCAGAGGCCGAAAAATGATCAAGATAAGGTAATGATTGTCAAACCTTCTATTGCATTGTTCCGTTAAAATGGATCGAAGATTTCAGAATAGATAATTCATAAGCTTTCATTGAGAGACATTTCATTCTTCTTTAGGGAAACATATCTTTTCTCTATAGTGAATTTTTTCTTAGAGAAGTCTCTTCGCAGTAAGTTTTCTCTCTGAGGTGAGTTGTCTTTAGAAAAGCTTCTTTTAAAAAGTTTCTTTAGAGTTAATCTTGACAAAAATTCACTGCTATTTAAAAAAAATTTGTTTTGAGCAACTTTTTTTTGCAGAAAAGCCTTTCTGCAGAGAAAGTCTTTTATAAAGAGAGTTTTCTTTCAAGAAAAGCTTCTTTAAAGAGAGTTTTTCTTTAAAAAGTCTCTCTGAAGTAAATTTTCATTAGAAAAATCTCTTTAAAGAGAGTTTTCTTTAAAGATATTTTTTAGGAAAGATTCTTTAAGGAGAAAAATTTTTCTTTACAAAAATTTTTCTTTAGAAAAGCTTCTTTAAAAAGAGTTTTTCTTTAGAAAAAAGTTTGATAAGAGAGACTTTTTCTTAGAAAAATTGCTCTTTACAGTTTCCTTTAAGTCTCTTTGAACGAAATTTTGATTAGAAAAATCTCTTTAAAGAGACAGAAGAGCTTTCTTTAAAAACTCCTGTCTAAAAAAAGGTTTCTTCAGAAAAGTTTTTCAAGAAAGAAAGAAAGAGTTCAGAAGGATCTTTTATTAGAAATATTTCTAACAATATACACAAAGGGAAAAAGAAATGTACACGTCTGGTACCAAATTGACACCAAACTCTTTATAATTTTTCAATACCATCCGTTGTCAATGTATATACATACGTACGACAACACTATGTAATGTTGACAACATTGCAACAAATCGTTGTCGGAATCTAAGTTTTATACACATCCGTTGTCTAAATGTTAAACAATCCGTTGCCAATTGTGAGCTTACAACGTTTGTTAACATTTAGACAACGGATGTGTATAAAATTTAGATCTCGACAACGAATTGTTGCAATGTATGTATATACTTTGACAACGGTTGTTATTGAAAAATTATAAACTCTTTGGTGTCAATTAGGTATCAGGCGTGTATATTTCCTTTTCCCTCTGTATAGTAGTTTTTAAAGTTTCTATAGCAATGATTCTCCAAAGTAAATCTAAGAGAAACTAGGAAGAGTTTTCGTTAAAAAAGCTTCTTTTAAGAAAGTTTTGATTGGAAAATATTATCAGAGAAAGTTTTCGTAAGGGAAGTAGAAATTGCTTTTTTCATTGAAAACAGTTTTCTTAAGGAAAGTTTCTGAGTTTAAGAAGCCTGAAAACTATATCACAACGGAATAATGGAATTTGGTTAAAAATGTTGCTACACTTATAGAACATTTTGAATTTGCTTTGAATTGCCGGAAATTTCGATAAACATACCGGAAATCGAATATAGAAAATTACAGAAATTTGTTTCAGAAATTCTACAGATCGTATTTTCAATTTCTATAAAACCTATTCTTCTGTCTGTAGTATTCTTTAGCACACTGTATACTTTGCAAATTAAATGATTAAACTAGAAGAATATTATGAACTCTATGGTGAAGTGAAAATATCCACTTTATCTTGAATATTCGGTTTTTTATTATACTCTTTTTTTTTGGTTTTTTGCAAAAATTGTAGATGAAGTGACATAAATCCAGTTAACCCACACATTCACTTACGAGTACTTTCCTGCTTCGTTAATTGTGTGTGTGTGTGAGTGTATATTTATTTTAGTTTTTTTATTTATTTTTTATTGTATACTTTGGCTTTTTTCATGATATATATGTTTTATTTTTATTTTTTTTTTCATTATATTTTTTGGGAAAAAACTAAAAGTATTGCGACAAATGAAACTTGTTTTTTAATGGCTTCACTTGAATTTTACTTTGTGCACCAACACAACCTAGAGGAGCTGAATGAGCTCCATATTTACAACTACAACTATAACATGGAAGCTTTATTTTAGTTTTCATTTTAGGTTTTTGGCAGGTAGACCGACCGACCAACAAGCAGAGCAACAATAACAAGCAACTTTTTCAAATGTTCAAGTTACGAGCATGTACTAGTACTACTACGCCTTGTTTTGTCTTGTCTGTTCGTTTGCCGGTCTCCCCCGGTCTACCCAGTTTTTAGTCAAAAAGCCTGTCTGCCTGCCTTACAGCCCGTCCGTCAGTCAGTCAGTCAGTCAGCTTGACTGGCTTTCTTTCTTTTGAATTATGTTTAACACAGAAGAAAAAAAGAATAAATACAATAAAGAAAAATTGTTGTATGTAGATATTATATAGTATCCCATAATTCTCTTTCAGTTTTCTTCCTTCTTTCTTCTGCTTCTCGTTAAATACTCGTACTACAAATATAATCTCATGTAATCTTTATAACTTGCGAAAAATTGAAAAGTTTTCAGTCATCGAACGACGTTTTAGATACTTTAGGAGAGGTACACTCCAGAAAACCAAGATAGAAAGAAACCCATTTAAACTCAAGAACAAACAGCTGGTTGTTGGCTGGCTGTCTCACTGACTGCCTGGGTTGGATTTAACCAGTAAAGCGTTGTTGTTTGGTTGTAACGTTTTTTTTTTGTCTGTGGCTGCTCCACTTACAACAGCAGCAGCAGCAGCAGCAGTCTCATCATCATGCACATCTACATATCTTAGATAGTACCGAGAGTATTTTTGTTGGAATTAATTCAATTGGAAAATAATTTCAATCAATTTATCTATAATTTAAATGTGTTTTTTTTTGCTCTATGTAGCCTTAAGGAAATTGAAAGATTACAATATGGTTTTCAAATTTAAAGTTTTAATTCATAGAATTAATCTTTCACTTTTGTCTAGAATTGAATTTCGTTCTTTTGCAAACAAACGTTGTCTGAACGTCGTTTTAATTGATAGTGGAAATAACGATAATGTTAGAATAAAATTAAATTAATAGTATTAAAATGAAATAATGTAGGCGCGGGAGTTGATACTTGGTATTATATGCTAAAACTTTCGGGGGATTTTCACAGTTAAATTGACGTTTTGAATGTCTTATATAAAGAGATTTTTCGGCAAAGTTATTTAAGTTCGAGAAACATGTTTAATTACTCAATGTGAATGAAAGATTAAAAATTTGAATGCTTTATAATAGTTTCCCTTTTAGGTCTTGTAAATAGAGATTTATGACTGTTCAGTATCATAGCTCCTGAGAAATATTTTACCTATCACTGTGACGCTACGATCTACTCTGATCGTTCTTGCAAAAAAATTACAACTCTCGCATATTCTTGAGTGAAATCAAATATTTTCAATTTCCCCGCCGTATAGAGTATCGAGATCCTTCGTGAAAAAACTTAACTGAGTGTCAGATGTCTTAGTTTTATCAAAATGATTATAATGTCTAGTACCGCAACTGGATGGCACTAGTTAAAAAGGTTATTCGACTTATGGAAATGATTTTTATTTCAAATGAAAGTAAAATCAATAAATCGTTCAAATGTTCATTCCGAGTGAATAAGCTGGTCCAAATTACCCTGGACTCGAGCACAGAAATCGGCTAAAATATCAGAAATTTTACGTTCTGCTTTTCTAACATTGTTGGCATTTATTAAAAAAATAAAAAAAATTTGCTGAATCGCTTCGTCCTAAGGAGTCGGAACTTAATCGTGGTATAATCCTTCCGAATCAGTAGCAAAACTTAAGTTTTAGCCCGAGGTGTACCTACTCTCAAAAAAAAAAAAAACACGTAATCCGTACTTTAGTCAATCCAGATCGGAATCAAGTACAAAATACCTGAATTAAGTACGAAAGTTTTGACTTTAGCGCGATTTAAGAATCTTTTAGATTAAAGTGATCTCAGCGCGTGCTTTTAAGAAATTTTTTAATTGATTTAAGCTTATAAGATTGTGAAATGTAAATTGTAAAAGACCATGTCAAACAAATTTTGGAAAATGTTTGTTAAATCAAGTTTTTCAGATATCAAAATCATACCTTTAAATATCTGATAGCCATGATATAATTTTCATTATTTACAAAATTACATTGAAATTGCATGAAACTAAAATCAATAAATTTTATTATTTAACCTCAAGATAACACTACAAAAAATGTGTAAATTTAAAATAGAATTTATTACCCATAAAAAGGCAGTTTTAAAATTTAGAAAAGAACTTGAAAAAATAAATATTGAAATTCATTACAAAAGTGTAAATTAAATGTAAAATAATAGATATAACAAATATTTTAAATATAAATTAAGTTGGTTTCTCGTACTGGTCAGTTGTAAAGGTTGTAATTAAAAACAGTCAGAAATTTCGATTTTTTCATTTATTGCCTATTTAAAACAGCTGTTTTCAGCTATTTGTTACTCTGACAACCATTCACTGTGAATGACATATACTAAGAAGAAGCAAATTAATGTAAACATTTGTTAATTAACTTGCA